CAGTCTGCAGGACCTTGGCGGTTTTGTTTTATTTGTTTTTGGATTCAAAAGTCAGAAGAACAGATAAGAGAAGGGTACTGCAACAAGAGACATGGCTGACTTAGAAGATCGTTCGAGAAGGTCCGGCAGCCTCACGCAGACTCCTCGAAGCCCAGTTCGAAGCGCCAACTAACCACGATTGTAATTAAGTTGCAATTTTTTGTTGTTCGCAGCAAGCGCAGTGGTGAAGGTCCACAGTTGTTTGTCTGGGTGTGTCCGGCGCTGTGTATGCCGACCGGAGCACTCGCCAGGCGACGACTCTTTCGTGGTGCCTCTTCAGCTTCACCGCGATGTGTTGCAAAGGCGTCTCAGTGCCCGCCGACAAGGATGGCGGCTGAGTCGTGAGTGGCTGCTGCAGAGGCTAGCTACCGGTTTCGAAGCAGGTCTTCACACTGCAATCTGATCTGCGAAAGCAAAAAGGGAAAGTGGAGAGCAGCGGAAGAATCGCATGGAAGAACGAGGGTGCAGGATGAATGATAAATATACAGTTATTACGGTTGGTAGGCTATGGAATCAATGGTCGTGAGGATTCTAAGTTGCGATGGAAAAGAACTTATTGGTGGACTCAACATGGGCTGAGAGTTTTGAGTGGGTTGGTCACAAAGCTGGTTCATGAGACCCCAACAAAAGCTCTCCCAGTGACTTCAAGTCAGCTTTTGGCGACTTTGCGGCCTTCGTGTCCAACGGCTCACAACACTGCTATGTAGTTGATGTATGTTTCTGTTCGCAATTCTTTGTTTGTAGAGTTCACACTTTATAGAATCAGAATAGTTTTGGGACAGTCGTTTCAGGATTTAGCCATTGGTTGGGCGTTTCATGTTGAGTGGTCAAACATCACCGTCAACGCCGCCTGTGCTTCACGTCGCCGAGCCCCGATATGATTCTGTGACGAATAAGGTGACGCGTGTGAAGGTGTCACAAAGCCATCCCTTAAGCCAAACGAAAGCCCAGACACTCCATAGGGACTGGCACAAATGCCTACATTGACCCCAGGTCAGCCACCCAAATGTATGTAAGCTTACCATACATGGAGTGTTTTGGATATGTAGAGCTGAATTACTGTAAGTCCTTATAAAGCTCAACAGACCTTGGCGTAGTCTTATGCTGTGTCTTTTGGATGGCACCAAGTGCCACCCGGGTCAAGCTGTTTGTAACAAGTGAACTGATATGAACTGATCAAATGGATGTGATTTTTTCATTCATTTGACCTCACCTGGGTCCCTGTGAGGTGCAGGTGGATTGGTCATGAGGATTCGGTTTCACGCTCCACACTGGAGGCCATCGCTAGTAGGTCGGAGGAGTGGTTGGAGGCCATCGCTAGTAGGTTGGAGGATATGGCTATGTAAAGTAGGTTGGAGGCCATTGCTAGTAGGATGGAGGCCATCGCTATTAGGTTCGCGACAGTGCGTGCCAGGCAGTGATGACGGCCTGTGGTGACTGAATATAGGTCTGGGCGCGTCCGTACAATGAGGCATTTGCAAGCGGCAATGTCGGCAATGTCCAAATCCTACAGCTAAAGCAGGCTTGAGCAGCGCTACTCCACCATCTCCTGAAATCCATCCAGTGGGAAATCCACCAATGACAACGCTTGGTCAAGATAGTCGCATGGCAATTGACCCACTGTACTGATCGCAAGACAATCGCTGCGGAATAGCTGCGCGACAGGAACAGCTGCGCGACAACCGCACGGACTCATGCTGACAACATGTTGGGAAGAGGGCTTTACGAACCAAGGCCTACACACTGTCTGAACAACTTACTACTTACTAAAAAGCTTTCTAGTAGTTAGAAGGAAGCTTTCGTCTCACTGGGAGTTATTTCACCTGTAGTAACTAGAAGCTTACCAGACACTGACACCACACAGTTTTGGTCGGATGATCAGCGCAGCTTAGGGCCACATATGTGGTTGTTGTGCCTGTTCATTGGATTCATTTCTAGCTGGATCGTTCAAACCGGGCAAGGGTGGTCAAGTCATGGTCAAAAGATATTGAATCTAAGGAACATCTACTGTTCCAGTACAAGAAAAGATGTAAATAGTGCGCCCTGATGTTCTTTTTCTTGCGCTGAGCTTTGCAGCCGCTTGACCAGAGCTTTCTGAGTGCCTCGGAGCTTGGTACAGCTTGGCTTCAAAGAGCCTACTGTATTTGAGATGATCAGCTGTCCTAATTTGGGACACCAGATTTGCTGGAGTGTATATAAAGGAGCCCTGATGCCTTAATGGCCCGGCGTGAAATCATGGCACCCCACTTTTGCGAACACTCATGATGGGTTGCTGTACCTTGGCTGGGCATCAGAGCTCTCCAAGATGAAAGCTGGCAAGCGCCGCGCAGCGACCCGGATAATCAGGCATCCAAATCAAAGTACCTTAACATCAGGTCTGGAGTGTAGAGCCTAGCATGAGGGTCATGGCCATGCTTTGATCACCTCGTAGTTTTGTCCACGCCAGACAACATGCCTGTCAAACTATGCTTATCAAATTAAACAGGAAAATTGCAAGCTCCCTGCACAGTTGGGTGAGGGTTTGGGGCGAATAGAAATGTTTGAACATTGAAACATTGACAAGTTACCTTCATGTCGTGAACCGCTGAGAGATTTCTGTTTGAAGGCGAGTGACGTCATCATCGGTCGCGATTGGTCATAGCGGCTGCCTATGCAAAATGCAAAAATCAGTGCATTAATTCGTCAAATGCTCTGCAGAGAGCATATGCTTGGCATTCCTACATGCCGCTGGTACACTAACATGCGCATGAACTAAAGGAAGCCATTGAAAGCTTATCAGCTCGGATTACTATGGATTACTAGTAACAAGTAGCTTACTAGACTGTCTTTAGAAAAGCTGGTTCGGTGCGGTGCAGCGCCGCCACGGTCACTTTCGCCGTGCAAAGTGCAGCGCCGCGGCCGTCGGTGACTTCGATGGATCCAGCAAAGGCGGAAAATCATCGGCCACAGCCGGCTGACATCGAGCTCGCCGGCTGCTGTTCACATGCCATGCATGATGATTGACATCCATGACGTGACATGGGTGCCAGTCGGACGGATCGAACCGCTGGCATCCGAACATGATACGTCGTACTCTTCCTATCACCCTGCTATAGCTTTCGTCACCAACCCTCGGCCCCAAGTCGACTTTTCCACTTTTCGAGACTTTTCGACTTATCGACTTCGCGACTTTTCGACTTTTCGACTAGTCGCGGCCGAAAAAGGGACCGATTACTTTTCCGCTTTTGGTCCACCCTCCTTTTACTAGCATCCATCCGTGAGTCGACGCAGGATGTTAAGAAAATATACACTCGGACACATTCGCGTGTCACAAAATCACAGCCGTGCAGACAAGAACAAAGCTATTTTAACTTATAAGAGTTCAGGATGAGTGCTGGCGTAACAAAAGTGCACATGTGCCACCAGCGGCGTAGCGGCGCAGCGGCGTAGCAGGGCATCTTGCACAGCGGCGCAGGGGCGTAGCGGCGCAGCGGAGCAGCGGCGCAACGACACAGCGGCGCAGCGGCGTAGCGGCGCAGCGACGCAGTGGCGCAGAGGCGTATCGGCGCAGCGGCGTAGCGGCGCAGTGGCGCAGCGGTGCAGAGGCGTATCGGCGTAGCGGCGTATAGCGGCGCAGCGGCGTATCGGCGCATCAAGGACCAAAAAAACTTTTGCACAGCTCACTGGCGTAGCAGCGCAGCGGCGCAGCAGCGCAGCGGCGCAAGACCGTTCGAAGACACTACGAAGCGCGCGAGTGGCGCAGCGGCGCAGCGGCGCAAGACAGTTTAAGGACACAAATCGCCACCACGCTGCAAAAACACAAGCACAACAACAAACACACAACCACAAACACAACAACAAACACACAACCACAAACCACAAACACAACAACAAATACACAACCACAAACACAACAACAAACAGACAACAACAAACACAACAACAAACACACAGCCACAAACACACAACAACAAACACAACAACAAACACAACCACAAACACACAACCACAAACACACAACCACAAACTCACAACCACAAACACACAACCACAAACACACAACCACAAACACAGCCACAATTACAAACACACAACACAAAGACACAACCACAACCACAACCACAACTACGAACAAACACAACCACAAACACACAACCACAAACACACAACCACAAACACACAACCACAAGCACACAACCACAAACTCACAACCACAAACACACAACCACAAACACACAACCACAAACACAGCCACAACTACAAACACACAACACAAAGACACAACCACAACCACAACCACAACTACGAACACACAATCACAACCACTACCAGTACCACAAACACAATCACAAACACACAGCACAAACGCAACCACAAACACAATCACAAACACACAGCCACAAACACAACCGCAAACACATCTACAAACACACAATCACAAACACACAGCCACAAACACACAATCACAAACACAACCACAACCACAACACAACACACAACCACAACCACAACACACAACCACAGCACACAACCCGATTACCCACAAGCAAAATTGAGAACTACAATACTCATGACCATGGCAACATGCTCCTCACTATGGCATCAAGACAAATGATTGAAATGTCATGGTGGGGATCACTCGTAATTCTCTTTTGATTCCTGGGCAAAGCTGAGTTTGTTTCCACTATGAGCTCTCAGGGATTTTGTTGAGGCACCCAAAGACCTATTCCAAGCATCCAAGAACTGTGCATTCCTGTGGAATGCACCAGCTGTAATGCATCACATGCTAGGTGAGTGCTCGTCTAGAAATCCCCAAATACGTAGATGACTTCAGAAGCCAACCTGGACCAAAGGAGTGGATTTCGCATATTTTCTCTAATCCGGGGTCTTTCATAGACCAAAACAGCCCACCAGGCCACTGATCGCACACATGCTACGTCATTTGTTTGGTTTAACTCTTCCCCCAACCGCCTGGCCCCCAGGTTATTTGGAACCCAAAGAGTTCAAGGACGCCCTTCGTGAGTTGCCTTCGGGGCAACATCTACTAGACGAGGAGCTGGAACATTTGGCCAACTACGTTGATCTCAACGGCCACTGGGTAGCAGCGACCGCGGCGAACGCGGCGACTGTCCAAGTTCGAAAAGCAGGAATGTCTGAGGACGAAGGTCTGAGCGAAGTGTTCTGAAGGGATGCGATGGTAATGGTGCAAGTGAGGATGGGGAAATTGGTCAAGTTGGCGCAGAAATTGAGCGCCCTTTTTGATTCAGTTCTATGAGAATAGCAGAGGATATAGGCAGATATGATCAGATATGCTGCTCTCAGGCCGAAAGATGTGTTTCTGCACATGGTCCGGCACGGGCTGCACATCCAAGGTGATGGGCGCATCAACTATCCCGAGCTCTTGAGAGCTTTGTATGTGCGCGCTGGCCAGGGTGCCAAAGCCTTGTTGGAGGCGGCTTTGTTGCAGTTTTGAAAAACGTGTCTTCCAACGATAATAATGATAGATGAGAAAGGTGATTCAACTGATGTGGAGTCGATGTGTAATGGCCCAATCGGACCATCTGGCCTCTGGCCTCAGAAAGAATCAGACTGTTCCACTCTTGACTAAGGCTTTGAATGTTTATGAATGTTTCAGTGTTGGATGTTGTTCAACAGAGAATTTTGCATTGTTGATCTTGAGTCCAGATCGGGCAACTGGCTTTCTTTGATGCCAGCCATCATGGTAGGGCTAGGGTTTTTGCATGTGCGCAGGATTGAATCCTGCGGAGATCTAGGGAAAGAGACTTCTCTGCGGAAGATTTCCCGGACGTCTGCCAGGATTCTTTGGAAGCTGTGCATCGAGTCCTTCACTTTGAGTTCGCGAGGAGCGGAGCAGTCGGGGCGATTCGGGTGATAGTTGCATTTTTTTGGACGAGGGGGTGGCTGAAGCTGACATGCTTTACGGGAACCATTGTACTGTAAGAATACACTCGCTGGAATAATGATCGTGGAAGTGGAAAACCACGCCTTCGTCTTCGGAAAAGGGTCATCACATCGAATGGGCCATGCCATCCACGTAACCACCATGATCATTCCACAAAAATATATAACTCTTCATAATTACTGTATATAATTCATGTAGATCAATAACACCCCCGATTTTAATTTGGAGATCCTCTTCATACGGGCGGCTGATTCTACATGATATGGTTTATATATAGCAAAATGACTTCAGATACAAACAAATCAAGAGTCTAAAATGAACTCTATCCATATATATTTCTATGGCTTACTACATGACTTCAGGCGACGTTTTCATGAGGAACTCACCCCCTTCCTCACCCAAAAGCACCAGAAGCGAGCAACAGATCACTCGACCGGGGCTGTGGAAAAGGCGATCGCGTCCCATGGCGGTAGAGCTGAAAGCGGGGCAGTTGGACGAAGGTGGCGCTTCCAGTGGCTGGTCTGGTATTTTTGGGTTCAGACAGTGGCCCTACGACGAGGGTCGTTCCAAGACATCAAAGAGAAGAAGAGAACAAACGTGGGATCTTTGCCTTGACGGGTCAAGACGGTCTTGCCGGGTGTTTTTGTATGACCTATGACCCCAATACTTGGCCCACGGAGGTCCCTGACCCATTGGTGTCTCAGTGGACGAGCAGAGTTTGCTTTCTGCAACAAGGCAGAGGAGCATCAGTTGGGGGTTCGCATGGTCAGTTTTAAGACATAGTGATTGTTGATCGTTTCGTTGAACAACGAGTTAGAGGATAATCGTTCTCAGCATCTCGAGAGATTGGGGAACTCCGCCTTGGAAAAGACGATGTCGTGGTGGACTCTTAAAGAGAGATTGTCCAGCACGACATCGAAGCGCTCAAAGTTGGGAGAAGGCTGACCTGCGAAAATCTCACTTCTGATACTCTGACTACTAATTAGACCTCTCTCAATGCATTGAGTTCCTTCTGCTCAACATTCAACAGCACATCTTGCCTACAACCCTAAAGACGTCATGCCGGATTGCCTGCGCCTGGTCCTCGTGGATCGCGCGGGGAGGCCCTTGCGGAGCCTCCTGCGGCGCCTGAACCCCGCTGCGCGGCGCTGTAGCTGCTCCAGCTTCAGGCGACGTGGATCGGTGGATCGGGCGGGATCGGGGCGGGATCGACCTGGAGATCTCATAAGCGAAACCAACATGTTGGGCTGACAGTTGACCGATACATCAGAGGTTTCTTCCTTTTCGCAGATGTTAGTTCTTTTCTAACCCACTGATGGCTGTAGGTCGAGACATCAGAACTTGTCGGTTGAAGCACCAGGAAAAGCATCAAAGCGGACGTATACCGGACTTGCGTCATCAACGTTCGCTGCGCAAGCTAGGCAAAGGCAACCGGCTCTTTCAGCAAGGTGGCCCCCCAACCAAGCAAGGGAGAACCACGTCAACCAAATCTCCAACTATCCTCGACGATCTATTCCCATGTCAATCTGACCTTCATGTGATGGATTCTCTTGTGCCCCCCCCCAAATTGGGTCTCCCTTTTCATGCAAATCTACCTTTTTTCCGACCTGCCCCTCAACGCCGATCCGCCCCCATCTCGGCACCTTTGAGGCGTGCCCTGCACTCGCTGAACTCAGCGGGTGGCGCTTCGCTGAGCGAGGTGCAGCTCAGCTGCTTGGTGTCTCGGACGAAGACGCAGCCGCCAGGTTTACAGCACTGGGAAGGAAAGAAGATCGTCAACGATCTGAGGTTTATGGCGTTGAATTTTGACAACATCTCTTTGCAGAGGGTAGAGAATCTCTTGACTTTGGTGATGGTACTGTAGCTTGAGCATCGAAAGGCAACTTGAACTCCTTGCCTCACTGCCGTACCCCTTCATAGTGCTGTGGGCATTCTTGCAACTGGACAATGAGGATGATCCATTTCATCCCAGACTTCGGGACTTCCGCGGCAGAAGCTACAGCCCACGATCTGTCTCTCCCTTAAGTTGCACCAAACCTCAAAACGTGAAAGCAGACATTCCAGCCGAGGTTCCTTTACCATGGCGCTGGTTTTTTTCGCCTCCAAGGTGATCGGCTCTATGTAGACGATTCTGTTTGGTGTTACCTAGGGTGATATGACCAAAGTCATGTGGTCCTTTTCACCCTACCCCTTTTTATCCCAAGACCTTGTCGTACTCCAGACTCACTGGACCAGTGATTGAACACCACCGGTTGGGTTGGTCTGCCCAGCCATCCAGAGAGGCGAAGTGTGACAGAAGCATGACCTTCCAAACGGAGTCCCTATGGCCCTATGGGGTCCCTATGGGGGTCCCTATGGGACCCAGAGTCTCAGATGGACTCTGAGACGACGAAGCTTTGTCAGGTGGACAGTATTGATGTTGACACCCGTGAAGATGAGGAGCTGAGTGGGGGGGGGTGACTAGGTGCGGCTGTCATGGTGACCAGTGGTGACTCCGCAGGCAGATGGTGGGAGGAGTGGTGCGGAAGCGTTTCTTGCAGCCCACGATGCCAGTGAGTTCTTTTTGGAGAAAGGGACAAACAAACATGTGTTCATCCATTTTAGGTGTATGATCTCTTGGGAAACAAGTCCCGGGCGGCAAGTCGTCTCTAAAACCCGGGAAATGAGCCGTGGCATGTTGCGGGCAGCAATAGAGGATTGACTGTAGATGCTTGCAGTCGATGTTTCTCCCGCTTATGGGAGGGGGGTCTCGGATGGTTTACCAGGCCATTTCTAGGCCATGTCGTGGATCAGACAAAGACGTGAGTGGTGCGAATCGCAAACATGACAGTACATGGAATTCGGTCGAGTTGGAGACACCTGAGGTTTTCCGCTGTTCGCCCCGGCCCCGGCCGCGGAGTGGCTGGGAGTACTGGTTGTTTTATGTGAACGTTGTGTGTTGAAGGTCTTGGTAGAACATGGATAGTCCGGGCCGGTCCACTGCGGTCCTTCCACAACGGTAGACCCGGCTATCCATGTAGAAGATTGATGGACCCGCCAAGATGAAATTACTGTATGCTTCATTTGCTTCCTGGATATCCCATCTCTGGCCTAGGATAGGCCTCCGAGGAGAGAGCTGGTAGACCTACATAGATCTACCAATTCTTTTGCGAAAACAAGCTGGACGTTTAGGCTTACCTGTTTCCTTTCGCTTGACTCGCCACTTTGTTGCCAACAGTTAGTGGGAAAACTACTAGCTTGTGGGTAGGAGGGATCGATTCGGAGCTGGCGCCTGGGGTATCCATAATTCCGTTTCAACCGGGAGCCAAGAAACAGGGAGTTCCGTAAGCACCTAAGCTAGATGAGGAGCGACCACGGGATCCCTCTTTTAATCCACTGCAGGAGGAAGCACACTTCGATTTCGATGCTTGGTGGGAGGCAGAGTAGAGAATCCAGGTGAGAACAGGCCAGGGCCATGTCACAAGTCTACCACATTCCCCCGTAACTCCCACAACCAAATGTTTGGTGTCCACTTGGTGTTGTTGCAGCTTTTTGACTCTTGTGTTTCTGCAATCACTTAAATCCATGATGGTGTTGCTTAGTCCATCTGAAGGAGGACAGTTGGCCGCAGTCCTGGTTGGGAGTTGGCCAAGCAAACCGGCTGGCCGTCAGATTGGTGAGCCTCAGATCGACCAGATGGTCCAGCGAGAAGCCACCACCGACCTTGCCTCCCTCTCCACGAAGCCGTTGGGAAACGGGACCTACCCGACAAGCCAAGGTTTATTTTGCACTGGGTTGCCAGATCCCATAATATATATATATACATATTTATATACGATCGCCATCCAGCACCCGACTCTACAGGTCACCACCGGAGACCTGTTAGGGACCAAGCACCCTTTAGAGTCTAGAGGAGATGTGTTGGAGGATGCTGCTATTATAAACAGGTATATATGTATACACTGAACCCACTCTAGGTTTGAGCCTGCAGCAGAAGGCAGCCAAACCAAGGAAGATTTCTTTGACAGCTTCAGTATTGTGGACAGCCTTGAAGACCCGGATGAGCTTCCAGAGAACGAGGACCGTATGGGGACCGTATGGGTTTCCGGTGGTGTGCTCAAGGGTTTCAAGGAGCCTAATGGGCGGCTTGGAGCCATACATCCTCTCCTTTCGTGGCTAGGATCTCAGCTGTCATAGCTGGACTTCATCGTCCTAGTCGTCGTCCTCCTCCTCCTCCTCCGAAGTAGTAGAATAGTAACAGATGTAACAGTAGCAGTGGCGGAGCAGTAGCAGTAGCAGTAGCAGTAGCAGCAGTAGTAGAAGCAGTAGTATTCATAGTGGTAGTGGTTGCAGCAGCAGCAGCAGCAGCAGCAGCAGCAGCAGCAG